TTTTTCCATCAGCTCAGCCTACTCTGTGATTCTCTGTACTTCAATTCTGCATTATCCAAGCACTTGTCATCCTCCTAGCACATTTAAGATGCATATTATGTCAATAGCCTCTTTTAAAGACAAGCACTTAGTTCTGTGCTTTATTACTTAGGTTTCTGGTTTAGTGCAGAAATACATATACCATGTTTTGGTTTTAATTTCCTCTGTGCATATTTAAATAGCACCCATTTCGGTTCTACTCATCCCCCCTTCTATTTCCTACCTAATTGCTGCTAAGGGACAAAAGAGGACTTACAGAGAGCATAGCAGTGCGATATTCACCAACTCAAATTTGAGCAAGATTCTTGTTCCTTAATACAAAGCTGCTTTTCCATCACCCCCCTCCTCCTCCTCTCCATTTCCTGCACCAAGACGCGATTTTAGTGACAGCGTTTTACCCAGATAAGTATACCCAGGGAAGATACCTCACTGTTTCAGTGAAGCTGAAAAGCACAAGTATGAAAGAGATTAAGTATCTCTACTTTTGCCTGGCAGCTGATACTCCTTAAATCCCTAACAACACCCTATACTGCATGTTTCACAAAAATTATAATGGCATTCCATCACTGTGAGCAACATAAAACTGCCTTAAAAATATACAGCAACACATCTTCCACAAGTGATTCAGAGTAGCAATGCACAGAAAAAGCAAAGCTGCTATGACAGAAGCCACAGTCCCTCCGCTAGCATCAGCACATTGAGGAATAAGCATGGGAGCTGGGCTTCATTTCACCACCACTGCACTCTTATCTCTAACTCCTGCACTTCAGTAGTGCTGTTATTAGGGAAGTATTTGAGCTTTGCATATGTAATTTTGGGGTGCAGAGGGGAAGCCCTTATATGAAGGCCAGAAACATAAAGGAAACTTTAAAAACCGTTCTTGCTGACATTACCTAGGAACTAAATTATTCATATTACTCAGTGCAGGAAAAGGTGCTGACACAGGTAATTGCTTGGATGAGAAGCTTTCCGGTCTCCACTAGCTACCCCAAACTTCTGCTTTTAGAGATGTGCAAGAGGTCTTAGTCTTTGATAGATATTACATGAAGTTATTACTGATCTACTTCACATCTACATTGCTTAGAACTGATTTTTAATTCCAGCAAAACTCGTCTGCCTATCTGAAAGAAACAGCAGTTGGCCAGTTGTTAGACAGTTCTGTCCTTCATCTCCGATACTCAATAATATCCCTCCAGGTATAGGCAGATACCTGAAGAAGAAGTTTCTTTATTGATTTATCCCATAGCCCTGGTGCAATAAGCCATTTATCACTGCCATATGGACAGTGACAAATACGTTTAACATGATGTGTTAAACAAAAAGGCTATAAAAGGATGGAACCATGTTTTCCAAGGGGCTTCTGCTCAACCTAGTAAAACACAAGCATGGTCTGCACCTGTGAAACAATCACAGTATAGTTGCAACTAAGCTTCTCTGCAGATGAAGAAGTTGCAGGCATAGTACCCAGACATTTTTTGTGTTTTTTTCATAAATGCAATGGACCATATTACCAGGACATGAAGAGAGTCTTGGTAAGATGTTCCAGTGTTGACCTAAACCCATTTTTTCTGAAGTCTTTCCCTCCCCACCCCAGATTGCTGTGCTACAGCTTGGAATGCCTAGGAATGCTCTTCTTGGCAAATCTTCTATTTCATAACTTACTTAATTTGTGGCAAAGAACCAAACCACTGGAATTTTAAAATCTGTCTTCCTGTCATCTCTACAAAAGAAAAATAAAAACCCAACACAAGCAAACAAAAAAGCACAGCAGAAAATGGCCTACAGCTTGCTCTCTGCCCATGATTTATCACATACTTGTAAGCAAGAAGGTTTTATGTTCTATCCGAAAATTTCATATTTGAAAAGTCTCTATTAAGACAAATCCTGGAGTTCCCCACTTAATGATGTGTCAAAACCTACCGTAGATTATCCACTTCATTGACAGACATCATAAAAAAACATAACAGAAGTCAAAATGAACTCCAGTGAAAACATCCCAGGTATATTTTCACAATTTTCTTACAAATGCACTTACCTATTATTTAAAGAAGTTACATGGGTGTTCAGCCAACACTATCAACAAATTCAATGACACATGAAGGCAATACAGAGAAAGCACAGCTCCTTGTTTTGTCAGACCAATAAGAAATATTGTGAGGTACTACAAATATCTTCCTTGTTCGTCCATAGCACATCCCCCAGTACTCGCACTGCAGCATGACTGGTGGCTAAGAGGTGATAGTTGAACACAGAGAACTCTTCATGGTCAGTAGCTTGCTTGAAGTTAATGCATCACCTTCAGACTTGAGTAAAGGCTTGGGTCTTGAAAGGCTTGTTTGTTTTTCACCACTTTTCCATTTGCTCTAATGAGAGCTATCACATTTCCTTCCCAGCCTTACTTGTTATAGCCTTACTAATGATTCTGTAACAGTGATGGCCTTCTTTGAAAACCTACTGGAAGTTATAAGCAATTTTCTGCTGCTTCCAAATCTAGTAATACTGCTGTGGTTAAGATATAGCACCTGCATACCTGGCTAAACACAGAAGCATGATTTTTTAATGGGGTTTGTTTGGTTTTTAAAGGCTGCTTATGATTTTTAGTTTCGTACTAGCAATTTCTTGGCAATGCTTCCCGAAAATTAGAGGAATTTATTATAAAGTTTTATTCTAATTATTACAATTCTTAAGTAATTGAATGCATTCACAAATAGATCACATCATATGCTGCAAATTAACACAGCCGCCAAACAAGCATTTGGGTTTATGACATACAGTTGCATTGAATGAAAACTATTAGACCTTAAATAGTTTGGACAAAGCCGTTTGCTACTGGCACAAAATTACCCTATACTAGTCTGCATTTGCAAGACAACAGGGAAGATGTAGGGAAAATTCTGCAGTGGAAGGGTTTGTTAAACTTGTAACTCATAAGGTAGCTCATTTGGAATAGTCAAACACACAGCTAAAAGCTCCATAGGGTTTTTAATTGCTACTTATGTGAATAAAGACCATTTGAAATAGTGGAGAGAAAAATTCCACATTTTGAGAAACATGCACCAAAAATTCATGTTATTTCCCAAAATAACTGGCATGAAGAGGATCTTACAGATTTACATAAAGAGTTGTTACAAGCTTCAGAAGTCCTCTGCCTCCTCACTGCATCTGCCTAATTGGTATTCCGGCAATGCCGCATTGTTTGAAGATGGAAATACTAACACTTCAAGAGAATAGCAGATAATAGTATTGACATTTTAGTGTGGTAAACAGATTTCAGCTGAACAATGTGGTTTGCATATGTTAATCACCCTCCATTAAACAGTTCACTCATCAGAATGTTCCTAAATAGCTTAAATAACTGGATATATGAATAATTTCCATTAACACTAGAAACAAGGAGGTTATGCTCCACATAACAAGCTGTTGCTATGGGGCAGAGGCTGCCTTATTTCTGTATGCAATCTGTGACCACTCAAACTGGCATACCAGGACTTAAGCAACTGCACTATCCCAGACTAAAGACTTGGATCTTGTTTGCACTGTTATGGTGCTGGCCCTCTGTCTGGGGTAAGTAAGCAAACCTTGGTAAGCAAGGAGGCACCATTCAGGGCTCCAGCACAGGCAGGAAGCTGCCACCACCACTTTCATTAATCCTTAAGTGCTTGCTGAGGGTAAGGCTCCTCTCCAGATACATCTAAACAAGAGAGCTGGAGGTGGCTGGAATCAAATAGGCACCATTTTCAGGAAATCAGCTGTATGGATGATGGGCAAAGAGATGCAGGCAGGGCTAGGTAATGATCCAGGAAATACAGAAATAGAAAACCTACAGACAGGGTAGGCTGCCATGATTGCTTTGCTTTCCTCCATTTCTGTAGCCCCATGCAGATACACAAAACCACGACGTCAGGCATCAGCAGAAACGTCTGCAGCTTCATTAAGAGACCTGTAAACAGATTTGTTTCCATCTCATGAATTCAGACTTTGTTTCCAATTTATCCCTCCAGTATCATTTGCACGGCCACAGATAGAAATGGGTAAACTTCCACAGAAGAGATGGAGCCAGTGTGGAGTCCACCCAGGCAGGCAGGGCTCCTCCTGCTCAAGTGGAAGCAAGGAACAGACTCAAGAAGTAAATTGTAAAGTGGAGAGTAGGCTACAGTTATGTCCGTCTCACCCTTCTCTGTACCATTACCAGGATTGCTTCTCCTGTTAAAAGAGCTGTCTCTTAACCCAACTCAGAGAAAATATCTTCCTAAGAAACACTTGTGAAAACGGATCTTTGTGCAGACCCTACCTGAAAGTACAGCCATGCAAACAGTTAAACCAACATGTGCTCTTGCACTGGAAGCACAGTGGAATGAAGAACTATTCATCTGAAAGAGAGATCAAATCCCTGTGCCCTCAGCCAGGACCAGGACCATGGAGGGTGTCACTTTCACTCAAGAGAGGATTTCTAGGGGCAGAGTAATTATCACCTCACCAATTAACTATAACCGCACTGTCTGATCAAAGACAAATTGTCCTGTTCACATTAGCTTTCAAAAGGTGCTCAAACTACATGAAGAGATCAGATTAAACTGGCAGGGCTTGTAATTCCACATACTGTTTTCCTTATCTCTTTCTTATCTTGGTAGAAGAGGAAGTTCTATTTTAAAGAACAGTTTTTAGATTCAGCCTTTTCCACAACAAATGGGAATCTGAGTGCTTCAGATGATGTCCTATTAAGCCAGTGTCTGACTAGAGATGGATGCCTTATAAACCATTTGTTCTGCACAGATGCTTGAAGACTTAGAGGAAATGATACAATATCACCAAAAATATCACCCAGTCATGTTATCTTTCAATTTTGATTTGATTCACACAACTATTCAAAACAGCCCCTGTTCAACCTCCTGGAGCATTCTTCCAGTAGAGACAAAGACTCACACCTAAATGATGATTACAACAGCACACAGTCCTCATGATGAACACGTAAATGTATTGGCTTTCGCAAATCATAGGTGTTGCTATGTGGATATAACTGTATGAGTTCACAATAACAGAAACAAAGCTTGCTAAAGACACAAGATTAGGCAACAAGTTGGAAATGGCCAGAACTCTTGAGCAAAATGGAGTCACGTAGCAAAAGAATTTGTAAAGGTAAAAGAAGGGGGGGGGGGGGGCTTGATATGAGGAAAGCTAGTGCCTGGAAAACACAGAGTTAAAGTACTTTTAGCTTAACTTAGGTCGAAGATAAAGAGCAATGTTTGTATTGTAGGTCTGTGAATTTAGTGGCCCCACTAAACATGAGTGAATTATTTTCACACCATCCTTCTACAGTACCTTTAGCTTAACTCAGATCGAAGATAAAGAACAATGTTTGTGTTGTAAGTCTGTGGTGAGATAACAGGATTTAGTGGCCCCACTAAACAGGTATGAATTATTTCACACCATCCTTCTACTTATCAGTTAGTTTAGAGACAGCGCCTCCCAAACATCTGCTTGGATACTCCTTGTCTGCCCATCCTGCAATAAATTTTACAGGAAGGTCGGACTGTTATAAATCTTTGCCAGCTATCAGAAAAGTTACAGATACGTCTGGTTTCAGCTAGTTTTGTGACTACGGGGGCATCCAACTGTGCCAAAGGTGAAAAGTACACCATGAGGAAGACTGCATACTGCATCTTGAAGACCCCTGCCCACATGAGGAAGACTGCTTACTTCATCCTCAGGACCCCTGCCCACAATCACCGGAGAGCAGTGCACAGACGCCAAGAGGAGGAGACTTATGATAATAAGTTCCTAGAGCTAGTTACAATATTCCCCATCTATACACAGGAATTATGAATATGTATATGACTAATGCAATAGTGAAAGTATAGAAACCTGTAACAAATGCTAATCAGTGCACCCCTGGCTATGGTCACGCACCCAGTGCTGTTGCTTTTGCTTTACTGAATTTGTCCCTCAATAAAACCCTGTTATCTGGATTAGAGGAGTGAGCTCGTATTTCACAGTCCTCATGGGCTGAAAAGGTTTTGACCAAAGCATGAAGGAGGAAGGTCTGGAGCTATGTACAAACCTGCTAATACAAATACCACCACCACTATACCTATGCGCGATTCCTTCTGCAATTCATCACTGCACAGTAGGAAAGTCTCCATTTGCTCTGCAGTCTCTGTTTAATAATTTATAGTATACACTTATGCATACAGTTGCTTTAATACTTCATTTCCATAGCTGTTTATATTCTGCCTCAAGTATATTAATCACTGATTTAAATAAAAGCCTACCTTTAAGCAGATAAATAGTCCCAACAGAACCTACCACTTGCAGTTCTATGCAGACATTTTGCCAATGCTACTGAATGCATTTTGTCACAGTAGGATAGCATGAATAGACTCACAGTAATTTTGCTTAACAAGTATTAGTAACATCAGCCATGATGATGAAAACCTGGCAAAATATCCTATTAAGTACAGAATTTGATTATCTGCTCATTTAGTAGGCAAAATACATTTCCATACAAGAAAAAAAATAATTAGAATTGATTTATTAAGTAATAAAATATTTTTCATTGTCACCTGTCTCTCCCTGACTTCAATCTTTAAACTGATGGGACAGTACATGGAGAACAATCAATAAATGCACACTGCATGGAATAAACAAGTATCCAAGAACCGCTGAAAAGGAATTAATTACTGCTTGTAAAAGTGGTACCTGGAAACTCAGGTATAAAGATTCAGTCAACCACTCTTCCCAAGTCATAAACACCATCTTACAATCCTGGCTGCAGGACTGATGTTTTAAAGGTAATAACCAAAATATGAATGACATTAACACTATGCTTGCAAAACATAACCAAGCACATCCTATGGGAAAAAAAAACCAAAAAAAAAAAAAACCAAAAAGAACAAAACTGGAGAAGAATATTTCTCTATCACAAAAATGCCTACAGCCGTATCTTCAGGTGCCTACTTCCCCTTTGCTCTTGGTCATCCAAACATCTCAGCACAGCATGGACTGTTTAATGTTCATTCCTCAAGTCCTGCTGGGCTCTGACTTCTCTACCTACTAATTATTACTGGAAACAAAAATCCTAGAGAGAAGGTATATTAAAGCCAACTTTTTTTGGCTTCTTCATCCTCCAATTCAAGTCAGACCTTAACATAACTTAGTGCAGCCTAAAAGCAGCAACCCAGAGAGCAAGGTAGAGGGGATGGACTAGCAGCTATGAGCTTACCCAAGGAGCCTCCCACCTATTCAAAATGCAAGTATTTTGCCAGTTTTGTTTCTCCTGAGTAGGAAGCTTAAGCTGCACCAGAGAGGAAGCTGCTAATACCACTGAAAATAAGAACATATCTTTATAGATAGCACTTCCAAAAAGGAAAAATGCAGGCCACACAACTGATAATGACACTTTCCATGAGCAGCACATGGACCATACCACAGATGAGCTGTCACTGTAGTCAAAACAAGCCAAATTCAGAAGGCGCACTGCACCTTGCACAGCTGGGTCTTCCAGCAGCAGCCATGGCATTTAACAGCACTGTGCCTTCAAGACAGTAGTCCAATTTGCTCCTGCCTAGTCACTGGAGAAGCAGGTTTGCACTCAAGAGAGAAAAGCCATTACAAAAAGCTCATACAGGCTCCTTTCACCTTAGCATCTCTAAATATGTACTCGAGTTCATTTCTTTCCTGGATAACATATATTCCCTGCTCTCTGCTGGTCTTCTGGACTACAGAGACTGAACATGCTGAGTTTACTCAACTCAGGGAATATCACTTGAATAAAAAAGGAATTCCAGACAAAAACACTCAAGTTACAGTCATGTCTTATTGCTCTAATACACCACGCAACACTATTAATCATGGAAATGGTATTTTAAGAGCACTATAGACAGCTTCTTAGTAGCATTGGAGAAAAATTTACATCCCCCAAAATCAAAACCAAGTCAGAATATTCTGAAGTTTTGAACCATTGAAGGTGAAAGCCACTTTTGCTGCAGCTGAACCAAACTAGAAGCAGCAATGTGCTACTTCCACTTCAAATAATCCTGATTTATGAAATTCATGCACCTTCTGTTTATCACAACAGAGGAGTTACATATCAGTGTCTCCTCTGTGTTGCCAGTAAACCCATTTGAAGCTTTGTTACACATCAAGCTGCTTCACAAAAAAGCACAGAGGAAAAAACTGCTTTCCTGTTCAACATTAACATTGTTTAAAAATATAGTTAAATGCACAAAGCAGTAATCTGTAAAAGATATTTCAAAAACAGTGGATGCACACAGAATTACTGGTGCAAAAAAGCATCATCTGCCCCTAACCTTAAGGACATCAATAGACAACCAAAATACAGAGAAACAGCTGCACTTAGATTTAACTGATCAACAGCACATGACACCAGAAACTAATAATAATTAGTTTTCAATTAAACTGTTTACATCCTTTCTGAAGCAAAGCAATTGCAATATTTTATCTTGTTTTAGCAGAAGCAACCATTAACAGGCTACGCAAAGAGCACTGTCATTAATGTCTCATGTTTAATTCAGTGACAGATTTGAATGCTAGATCTTAAAAATAAACAAACAAAAATCCCCCACCAAACACAATATCCACAAGGCATCATTTTTATGCAATTTAAACTGTGGTCTGATTGCAAAGCTTATTAGCTAAAGAGCTCAAAACATATTAGGGTTTCCACACCGCATGTTAACAAATTACAGTTATCTTTAGACTCAGAGGCTAAATTGCACCTTCATATAAATCCAGTGGGCAACATCATCTGTAATGAGTTTGTGCCAAAAAAAAAAAATCAAGAAAAAGAGATACTTGAATTGAATATGTTGTTCTAACACCAAGGTTATTAACTCCAGAGCCCAGGCCACTTGATAAAGAATGGCTGAGCTTTGGAGACAATGTGCATCTTACCATTCACTGAATGATGCACAGTGGTAGCAATGCCCAGACACACCAACAGTACTTGCATTCAGTAGATTGTAATTCCCACTGGACTGGTAGGACACCACAGTCCATTACATTTAGCACATTCTCCTACAAATAAAAGATTCAATGTGGAAACACTCAACTGCTAGCCAGGCTCCTACCCTGAGCTATACCAGTATCTAACTACTAGTACTCAAATAACAATTAGAGGTTCATAAACCATACATATTTATTTTGCTTCCACTCCATTCTGCACCTCCAGCAGGGAAGCAATTGCCCCCATGCAGTCACTTGGGAAAAATTTGCACAAAGGACTCTTAGCACTTTTCTATTAATTGTTCCATCCCAAGACCCCTCAGCCAAATGGTAGACTTGGTCCTATTAACTCTTCCTCCTTAACACTGTGCAGTCTCTGGAGAGAAAGTACAAAGGATTTGTTATGCCTTCAGTATACTCAACGAGAATTCCCTGAAGCCTAAGCAACTTTCTTGTCCACTTCTCCAAGTACACTTATGCCTTGACTAGTGATAGTGACAAGCTTTTTACCCTACAACAACTGTCTTCTAAATTTCTGGAAGATTTCCCCCATCTTTCTTCATGCTGCATCAGATTGCATGACTTTTTTTATCCTAAAGTTTTTTCCTCTCTCTTTCAAAGTAGATAACAAATTCATCATACCCCTCTCCATACAAACCTTCTTCAAACAGGGCAGACAATTTGACGAAGTTTCTGTGATAACAAGAAAAAAAACTTCTAATGCCTTGTAAGGAAATGTTTCTCCTACACTACACAAATGTTTCTCCTCCAGTCACTTCTTAGGAGCAAACGGTGTGATTAGAATTAAATGATGATGGTGAAGGGTAATTAGTAAGTTTTTAACTAAAATATCCTTTTCAATGATATTTGGAAGCTTTATCAATATATCTTAAAATCTGCATGCTTGCCTGTACAACCATATTTATTCTGTTAAAGCCAAAGGCATATTTGAATGTTTAGAAATCAAAAACATTTTTTAAATGAGGTTTTTCTCAGCTGAAAATTTCTAATATTGCAAAAAGTATTTCAACAAAAGCTAAATGTTTTCATACAAAACCCCTGAGCCTAGTTACATCAACAGCTCTCACCATTAGTTCATACCCTGAAGAGCTGCAAGATTTCAGGGACATAAGTCATCCCCTGGTTCTGTGCCTTGCACACTGTTGAGATCAGCAAGGCGCTGTCAAGAATCATCTGGGCCATAGCAACACAAATAATATGCAGTAGTGGTAGCTATGGCTTCCCAAGCAGAAAACAGTAGGTGTGAAATAAGGAGATGGGCTAGCCTACAGAGGAGGCTGGCAACCTCTTACTCACACAACCCTTAACTCCCATTAGATAACCTCTATGCAGAGAACAGCGATACCCCTGTCATGGTGATGACACCCTGCTCGTGAACCTCTGGCAAACTCCAGAACAGCAGTGGCATCTCTTTCATGAGGTGATGATCCAACACTAGAGCAGTGATGCATTCAGCCTCAGAAAAGCAGCGCAAGTTACCACACGGGGCTCACAAGCTCTCAGCTAATGCAGTGGTCTGCGGAGCTTCATCACCCTCTCCACAGTGGTCCGACAAATACATTTAGCTGTGGGGAAGCAAGTGCTGATCACATCACTCAGCAGCCAACTCACACCACTGGGAGCCAGCGCCATGTTGGACCTCCATCAACTGGCAAGAAGAGCTTCTGAAGTGTATGCTGCTGTGTGAGGTGCCATTCCCAGGCCATGTCTTCACTAGAAAAAGGGTTAATGTCCCCCACATGTTTACTACCACATTTTCTGGTTTCATCAAGCAATACCTAACAGTAGAAAAGGCTCTGAGGTTTTACTCCAGTACAGACTTGGTAAAGGTACAGGAGCAGGTTATTGCCTAGCAGTAACATCTACAAGCGCCTTCCACTCATATCTGATACATGTTGATCACCTTAGTTACCCTAAACTGTTAATTTGAAGACCCCCACAGGTTACTCAGATTGAGGTCTTTAAGGAAGAGCAAAGGCTGCTC